TCATCAATCACACATCATACTAGTCTTATTATGTCGTTATTCCCATAACGACACAAGACTAGGGAGTTTAGTATCATTCATAATGATACACGGATTTCATAACAGATCTAGTATGCAAGAACATGTAATGAATCAAATACTCTCATAAAACCGTAGAAAGTATCAATACATCATATGTATCTGAACAAAGCTCATAAACAGTACATCATAGAGCACTAAACCAACAGGTTCGTTATGAACGATTCTAAATACCCTAGCCACGTATAATTGTAGGAACAATGATATATTAAGATTAGTATGAGGCATTATAGATGATCATAGAGAGGATCGTATGTATTGGATATATATCACGATCATGGGTACTTATTTGGAATGAAGTATTGAATGACCCACATGAGATTATCAAATGGACATGAGTTATGACTTAAATCTCATGTGATAGTTTTCTTTTGGATGCTATGACCTGAGATGTCTATAGTATCCGACACGAAGATGACATACTTTGATTGTATCAACGTCTTGCACAACAGAAAGACTTTAAAGGTGTTTTTATGTACATCACGAATCATATGAAGGGTAGTAGATAGTCAATATGAGATTTGTACCTCTCAATCCGAGAGAGATTTCGTTGAACACCCCAAGTGAGAGGAACTGTGGAAATGTGTGGTCACATTATAGATGAATGTCATCTATTACTTACATTTAACTCAATGAACGAGAAAGACGGTGGAATCTGAAAGGTGGCTCATTCCATGCTTTTGTTCAACAAACGATATCGTGTTACAAAAGGATAACTTCTTGAGCTATTATTGGCGTTCATTAGATCACAATGTAACTCTAATCAAAATGAGTAATCATAATGTCTTGCTAGAGACCGCTTATGATTTGTATAACCGAAATGGAGATTTTGTATTTTACTGCTATTTCGGATGAGCCTACACGGTCACACACAATAGGAACGGACGAATACGTGTGCTAAACTGGTCTGATTGGGAATTCTAATTGGATTGGGAATCCTAATTGGAATAGGAATCCTAATAGGATTAAGATTCCTATTATGTCTAGGAATCTTAATGAGATTAAGAATTTTATTACGTCTAGAAAACCTAATGAAATTAGGAATTCTAATGGGATTAGGAAACCTAATGTGATTAGGATTCCTAGAAACCTATTTCTAGTAAAATTAGGAATTTTGAAGAATATATATAATTAAGGAGAATGTCTCCTATGGTTTATTCATTGATGCCTCTTTTAAGTTTAGAATGATATTCTAAGCTTTGAAAAATAAAATCCTAAGTCTCCAAAAACCTTGCACACAAGAGAAATCGAGATCTCTAATCCTAGTAGACAAGTTCCAATAGTTGGAATCAATCCAGACGTGTAGATACGTGTAGAGGGTGTTGATACACTTTTCCACCTTCTTGGATCGAGCGATTCATCCTTGAATAGGCCACGATTCGCTTAAGAGGTTAGTATTTCTTTTATGAAATCTGCATACAAATGTTCAGTGTTTGGGATTGGCTAGAAAATTTTTATTTACCCTTCGCTATGCGAACCCTAAAATCGGATCCCTTTGAATTATGAATTGCAATCCCAAGAAACCCATCAGTTTGCTGAAGCTTTATCTTTAGGTATCAACATCATAGAAGTTAACATTTTGTCTTTTTCATCCTAGGTATTGGACACTAGATGGGTCTCACACATTTGTGAAAATGTGCAGGGTCTACGAAGAAGTAGAACATTGACGAAAGATGAAGTTATTCTACGTGTTAAAAGCAAAGTTATGAAATTTTTTTTTGGGGGACGATGGTCGTTGACGACGGCAAAGCTCCAACAATTCCAACGATTTTATATAAGTACATAAAATAAAAGATTACTGTTGAGACCTGTTAAACACAATTTTCTTAAGTTCGATTTTTGTGCCACCTCTAAAGCTTCGAAGTTATTGGAACACGGTAAATTTCTAGGATATAACAACACATACTCGAAAAGAATCTTTTCCAAATGCCAAACAAATTCAGAGAGAAATATGAATAAAGATGTGAATGCATTTTTTTTCCACTAGAATATTTTTTTTCTTGTGTAGAATGAACTAATTCAAGACTTCTATTTATATTAGAGAGAAGAATCATAAGATAAAATCAATTAGATTTTATTTTGATATTATCTCGATTGATTTTTATCATATTTGATAGATTTTCTACAAATTTTATTTTGATTTGACTTTTCAAACCAATAAAAAAATATTGTTTTAAGATTGTGCAGATTTTCTATTAAAATTCTAAAACTTTTCATGGACTTCTCACATATTAGATTCATTTTGATTCTATCAAATAAACTCAAATCCAACATTTAAAAAAAAATTCATGAAGTTTTCACCAGCGACACAAAGCAAACGGCCTACAGCTTTGAAATTCCATTTCATCGGTCCAAAACACAACCGGCCATACCACAACAACATTAGTTAATACGCCCTTTTATATATATTTTTATATTATTTTACAATTAAATCAAAATCCTAAATCTATTTGTTTTTTCCAGCCGTCTGATTCCACGGTTTAAGTTTCATTTACACGTAGCAGGAAAAAAAATGAAAAAATAATAAAGAATCTCTAGGAATCTCTGAAAATTTTCCTTTTTGGCTAACATCAAATAATTTACGCGTACGGTTTGTTTCTTGTTTTGTCATGAACTGTGTGAGACTACGGCCCAGTTATTTAAATACTAGTAATAATATTATAGCCAAAAAATAAAATAATACAAAAATGCAATAGCCTTTGATATTTGGCTCTCTTGGTGACTATCGCCAATATATATATATAGTTAGTCGTTACTCTGTTTGCCTATTTTTAATTGCCACCAACAAAAAAAATATCAGACATTTTCCTGCTGCAAAGCAAGAATTTTTTTTTTCGCCTTCAAAAAGTAAAGCGAGCAAGAGAGAGATGCTCCGTGGTGGGCACGAATCGTACTTCCCTCCCGTTTCCGCGCCATCTCCGCCGCCCTCCACTGCCAACGTCGCTGCCTCTGGTGGAGGAAAAATGATAGCCTCCGTATTCATGGCGCTTCTTCTCCCCTGCGTAGGCATGAGCGTTGTCTTCGTCATCTACCTATGTATACTGTGCTACACCACGCGCCTCCGGCAAAGCCACGCGCCTCCGCAATTTTTGGAACCGGTTAAGCCGGTAACTGGTAAGGGATTGTCGGTGTCGGAGCTCGGGAAGATTCCAAAGCTATCGGGAAAAGAGCTAGCGACGGTGGGGAGATCGACGGAGTGTGCCGTTTGTTTGGACGATATCGAAATTGGGCAACCGGCGAGGCTGGTTCCCGGTTGCAACCATGGATTCCACCAATATTGTGCCGACACTTGGCTTTCCGAACACACCATTTGCCCCGTTTGCAGAGCCGAACTCGCTCCTAAACTCTCTGAATGTGATAAAGGACCAAAGCCCTAGCTGAAACAAAAAACTTGTCTAAAAAAATTCTTCTTCTCCTTATTTTCTTTCTGATTCCGAGTCACTTTTTTTGGGTTAGTATTTTTTTTCTTCTTACCCGCATGGTTACAGGGAAGATATTTCTAGATGTTTTTTTTAAAATGAAATTGTTTTGATTGTTTGGGGGGGTTTTAAGATTAGTTGCAGTTCTTCTAAGCCACACATTATGGAATTATCAGTTTGATTAAATAAATAAAATAAAATAGGAACTCAAGAATAATCAGTCAAATGGAGTTAGAAAAAATGAATATAGTAGAAAATATTAATGATCTTGGAACCCATGAAAAATGTGCACTATAAAAAAAATTCTTAAAATACTAGATTGAGTTCATAACATATCCTTAATTTCCGAAGAAAGGTTCTCGCACGATACCTTTATAAATATATCTTCCTCGTAATATCTTCATATTTTTGTTTTATTTTATTGAAATTTTTCTCCTCCCACTTTTTGTTCCTCACCAAACTTCTCACATTCTGTTCTCACGTCAAAAAGAATACCATAATCCATTGATGAAATCACAATCAAAAATTTTGTCGAACTTAGATAAGTTATCATCAGACAACTCAACATTTATTTTGGATTTAGTTCATCGTAATCCTCGTATTTCGTATATATGAATAAAATTAATATTATAGAGAATATATGAGTCATATGGATCGTACAGTTGACAGTGAATGACACGGTTATTCTAAAACGAGTGAATTAGTTTTGGGTCACAATGGTCACACCAACTCCTAGGCATGAGTTCTCTCTTGTCTAACCAGTCCCAAACCCAGATAAAGGAGGAGGGATTTTGTAGTAGGTGGCAGCCAAAACTAACCAATGTCATACCTTACATACAATGAATTCAAATGATATAAATGTTAGGATGTCCTCTACTTACGACGCACTACATCGGTGTTGGGATTCCTGGATCTCTAGAGCGAATCTAATTCCTAAGAGATCGGTTCTAGGGTTTGCGTAGCAGATATAAAACAAAACTTTTGATGAAACCCTAAAACCTAGCATGCATGATCTTGTAGAAACGTTAGAACGTTTACCTCAATCGATGTGGGGCGCATCAATTGAAGAGTTCGTCCGATCACTAAAGACAGGAAGAATACTTCGCCCTCTACACGTATCCACACGGCGGAAAAGATTCCAACGGTTGGAACTCGTCTGCTAGGACTGAAGAACGTTTTCTTCTTTGCGCAAGGGTCTCAAAGAGCTCTCAAAAGGTCTGTGAAATCGTCTTCAAGAGGTTAGGAGGCATTTCCCAAAATTAATCCACTTAAAACCCTAATTAGAGTGAGTTAAGGAAATCCCGAGGTCTGGACCGATCGTTCTGGAGCTTTTTGCCTGTGGACGGATCGATCCAGGTCTCTGGACCGATCGGTCTGGAGCATTTTCTGGACCGAACAACTTTTGCACGATTCATCTTTTCTCGTGTGTTTATCCTTTCCTGTGTGTGTGACCCTGTAGGCTCATCCGATATAGCAGTATAACCCGAAATCTCCATTTCGATTACACAAGTCATAGGCGGTCTCTACCAAGACACTATGACTACTTATCTCGAATAGAGTTTGTTCGTGATCTTACGAAGGTTAGTGATGATTCCGGTGGATGATCCTTTTGTATCACGATATCATATATCGAACATAAGGCATGGATAAGCCACCTTATCTGATTCGACTACTTTCTTGTTCACTGAGTTCGACTATACGAGATAGACGAGTTCGTCTATAGTGCGGCCACACATTTCTACAGTCTCGCTCACACGAGGGACCTAGCGATATCTCCCTCGTTTACGAGAGGTACAAATCTCATCTTGACTATCTACATTGTTGGTTTAGTGCTCTATGATGTACTGTTATGCGAGCTTTGTTTAGATACATTTGATATATTAACACCTTCTATTTATTTATGGATGGATGAGTGTTTTATTCATTACATATTGTGCATACTTAAGATGTTATGAAATCCATGTGTTGTTATGAACAATACTAAACTCCCTAGTCATGTATCATTATGGGAATAATGATATGCTAAGACTAGTATGATGTGTGATTGATGATCATACAGATGATCATAGGTATTGGATACGATCACAATCATAGGTATTCGTTGGAGAACGGAATACTGGATTGACCCGCATGAGATTGTCACATGGACTAAGCGTCATGACTTGAATCTCATATGTCGGTTCCATGATTGGATCCTAAGACCTGAGATATCTACGGAATCCAACATGAGGAGTTGCGTACTTTGAATACGTCAAACGTCCTGCGTAACAGGAGGACTATAAAGGCGTGTATCAGGTACGAAATGAATCATGTGCTGGATTGTAGATAATCAAGATGAGATTTGTACCTCTCGTGAAAGAGAGAGATATCGTTGGGCCCCTCATGTGAGCAAGACTGTAGAAAGTGTGGCCGCACTTTAGACAAACGTCGTCTATTTCAGACAATCGAACTCAGTGAACGAGAAAGCAGTCGAATCAGATAAGGTGGTTTGTCCATGCCTTATGTTCGACATATGATATCGTGATACAAAATGATTATCAACCGGAATCATCACAGGCGTTCGTATGATCACGAACAAACTCTATTCGAGATAGGTAGTCATAGTGTCTTGCTAGAGACCGCCTATGACTTGTGTAACCGAAATAGAGATTTCGGGTTATACTGGTATATCGGATGAGCCTACAGGGTCACACACACAGAAAAAGACAAATGCACGAGAAAAGACGAGAAAATTCCGGAAGAGCCGAAGCCAGACCGTTCGGTCTAGAAAGTCTAGACAGATCGGTCCAGCCTAGACCGATCGGTCTAGGGTTTCGCGAGTTGGTTGGACCGACAGGTCCAGGTGAACGGTCCGCAAACGTAGACCGATTGGTCTGAACCTAGACCGATCGGTCTAGACCGTTCTGGACTGAAAGGTCTGGACCGACCTTGACATGAAGACCGAACCACGTAGACTGATCGGTCTAACCCTAGACCGATCCGTCTAGGTCCCGAGGCTTCACCAAAATTTTGGTTTTTCGTTTCGGGATCTGGTTTGAGCAATCGTTGCTTAACCCAATCGACTGTGATTCAGAATAGCATGATTTATTCGTATGGATGGTCCATAGTGAATAAATGCATGTAACTTGATCAAGATATTGGATATCTTGATTGAGTGGGAGCTTTGGGACTGGGATTACATAATGGAATGGATGGTTTATTCGGATTATGTACAATCGTTGCACAGAAACCGGTTAGATCTAGAAGCTCTATGAGTAAAGCACTTGTCAAGGCCTCGATCGTACGTGGCATGGGCCATGTCAAAGTTGGGTGTGTCGTGCTATCTTGGTGAGGCAAGATAGAGAAATGGTGGTTCTCATAGCTTGTCAAGGCATCGATCGTCCGTAACACGGGTCATGCCAAAGCTGAGCGTGTCGGATCATCTTTGTGAGACAGGGTGGAAAATCGTGGTTTCCACAGCTTGAATATGGTTTACCTTAGGTTAAGTTGTCAAGTTTGACTTGAGACTTAATGGTACAGATGAGACGATTATGCAATGATATTTGATATCATAATCTCATAAAGGATCTAAGAGTCGATATGATTGACATTAGATGTCTACCTAAATAGCATAAGACTGAGTGTAACAACTTAGTCTTATGTGAAATACGGATCTTAGTCCCATATAGAAAATTATTGTAGGGTTATTTTTTTGTATGGGAATATAGCTTGTATATGCGTGTATGTTGTCATTGATTGATGATGGAATAGCTGGTAGTAGATCATTAATGTATTGTCGTTGATTGATGATGGACTAGCTGGTAGTAGATCATTAATAGAATATGCATATTGTTTTGCTTTCGTTCTGTTTTTGTCTTTTTCTATAGGACATAGCGTCGATCGGTATTATACCGAAGTTGACGATGCGATTTATCCTTATGAAGGATAAGCCTCTAACCACGGCTTCTAGATCGATCATTGATGCTTATTGGAAGCATGTGGATGATGATCGGGACAAGTCTAGCTTGAATTTTGGAAACATGACTTCGGAATTGCGTAAGCGATTAGAGGACATGGACGATTCTTTTATAGTTGATCAGTTGAATGCGTCATTCCAAAAGAAAGTTTATAGCCACGAAAAGAGTGATATGGTAGTTGTTGGAAAGAGTTCCAACAAAAGGAAGCGTTCCAAGAGCAAGGGCAAGAGGAAAGTGACAAGCGTTGTCATTGAACCTAAGCCTAAGTCCAAAAAGGAAGAGTGTTATTTCTGTCATGCCGTTGAGCATTGGTACAGAAATTGTAGACTCTACCTGGAAGATCAAGAGAAGAAAAAGCTTAAAGAAGCTTCGACTTCTGGTGTCTTCGTTATAGAGGCTAATTTGCTTACTTCTACATCATGGGTATTAGGTAGCGGAAGTGCCTCGCACATTTGTGGAAATATGCAAGGGTTGCGTTGGGAATGGAGCAAAAGTTGCTGCATTAGCCATCGAGACTTATGATCTGACTTTACCTTCTGGACTTGTATTGGAGTTGCATGATTGTTATTTTGTTCCTGCTATCAACAAGAACATTATATCGATTTCATGCTTAGACTCAGATGGTTTCAGATATTTGTTATTGAGAACAAATGTCTATCCATTTATAGAGGTGATTTATATTATGGTAAAGGTTACCATATTAATGGTCTTTTTATGTTTTGGATGACGAACCGTCTACATACAGGTCAATCTATAGCGTAAGTAATAAACGGTTTAAACCGAACGACTTAAGCCCGACCTTCCTCTGGCATTGTCGTCTAGGACATATAAACGAGAAACACATTCAGAAGCTTCATCATGATGGTCTTCTGGATTCATTTGACTCTGAGTCTCTTGAAAATTACGAGTCTTGTTTGATGGGCAAGATGACAATGTAGGGTTCACTACAAAAAAAATGGTCATTTCCAACGGGTAAATCCGTTGGAAATGGCCAAATTTCCGTTGGAAATTAACGTTTCCAACGGATTTCCAACGGATTTATCCGTTGGAATTTCGTCGTTAGAAATCGGTGTCCGTTGGAAAACCGTTGGAATTTTCAACGGAATTGCAACGAATTTTTCCAACCGGCATCCGTTGGAAAATTCCAACGGAATTTCCAACCGCAATCCGTTGGAATTTTCCAACGGAATTTCCAACCGATATCCGTTGGAATTTTC